CTAGTGTCCACAGCCGGTCCTTTGAAGAACATCAAAGCTTGTTTTTAGAGGAAGCTACAATGCTGTGGCACAGATTTTGTTTTCCTCTTTAAAAATGATGTGTCAACATTTTCATCTCAAGCTGTCAGCAGTAAAATCAGTATTCTCTGCAAATGGATTTGAGTTTTAAGAATCTAAATATTTGGTTGAGTTTATTCCTTAGTACTGTTTTTAATGTAATGATTTTAGTACATGATTAGACGTGTACATTGTACTTTTAGTTGTGCTATTTAACAGAAGTTAAGGCTCAATCAGCAGTGTACTGTTAAGCAATAAGATGATGCTACAGAACAAAACCAGAACAATACCAATGAAAAGAACTGACAGGCGTAGAACATTCTGTTCTTCTATGGACGTGTAGAAGGTTTACATAATTAGTTCCAAGAAGAATAAATACAGATATGTTTTAAATTAGATTTTTTTGTTTGAAAATTATGTTTTCTTTTTTTAAATGACAAACCTATTTTAAGTCCAAAATTTACAAAAATCTATTAAATCAGCATAAATTCAATATAAATTTGATTTTTTTTTTGGTAATGTTTGCTGCCAAAGTTTTAAAGGAAGGTGGTGGAAATCACTGCAACTCACTACAAAAGAATTAGCTGAAATGCTAACCCAGTTTTGACAGCCCTGCCTCTCTCTCTCTGTTGTGGGATTTGTTGCGCACACTTCCTGTTCCTCAGTTTGCTCTCAGCTTGGAAGTCAGATACTCTCTATACTCCAACAAAGAGAGCAAAAGAGGGTGGAACACAGATGGGCAGATGAACAACACATATTGAAGAGCTCCAGTTACTGAAGATACATCTAGAGCTTGGTCACATGACATAAAAAAAACTTGCATATGAGACCTTTCCCAGGAACATGGGAGTTCTCTGAAGCTACAAAGGTATCAGGTTTGCCTGTCAGGCACAGACATAGAGGTATCAAAAGGCAGACAGAGATTAGATTCCAGGGAATGGGGAGAGGCAAATACAAGTAGGAATTAAAAAAAACCAAACCCCCCTAGTGAAAAGAACCTCCTAACCTTTCTACCTAAAGACATGGGAGAGAATGGGGGAAAGAACCAAAGTGGATGGCCGCTGCCATAATGGTAGTCCTGTGTTGTGTAGTGAAGTAAAATGGGAGGTGACACATGCGATGTCCAACTCAATGCAAAAAAATAAAATGCTAAAATAAAACTCCTCATCCTTGTTTTTGCTAAATAACAAGGTACATAACTTAAAGAGTAGTTTCAAATGATTTTTTTGCTAGTCTGAGTTCCAAGTACCATCTAAACAGAGCTTGAAACATTACAAAAATTATAGTTATCTAGTAAAAATAACACCATTCACAATTTTCTAACATGATAAAACACTAAAATAATAAATTATAAAAACATAAAAAAAAGAATCATCATACGTTCAGTTAAATAAAACTGTGCTGTCCCAACCCTGGGGCTTCACACACCCTTGGGGCTGGGAGATCACAGCATCTCTGTCTCAGTCCCAGGGGTGCATAAAGCCCCCAGGGCTGAAAGCCCCTCAGCTGAGGAGCTCTCAGCCATGGAAGGTTGCTTCTTGCCAGTGCAGGAGGAGCCCAGGATCAGGTTCCCCCTGCACCAGCAATAAGACATGATAGAATCTAATGCATAATACCATAATCATGCTTCTTGCCATGTACATGTAATATGATGTGCACTACATCTCATTGCACCTTTACCTGCATGTGTAGAAGGGCCCTTAGGGAACCAGATGATTTATGAAATAACGAACAGAAATAACTCCCAAAGTAGGTCCATCTTCATTCAATCTTTCCATCATTATTAGCATCTAACCACTAGATGACACCTATAGTAGTAGTAGTAGTAGTAGTAGTAGTAGTAGTAGTAGTAGTAAGAACAACAACAGTTAAATATAATCTGAAAAGGTTTGATTTCTTTGGGCACTTATATACATACTTTTTTGTCCTGCAACATGCCAGAGATTGCCATTTTGGAGCAGACTTGATTAACTGAGTCTGCTCTGCATGCGAGCTGAGGCGAACTGTACTGTATTGCGTGCAGTTGTATAAGCAGCGAAATGTGCGTCAGTGTGCAGAAAATAACGGTGGTGAGCTTCTGAACTAAAGCACCTTCAATGTGTTTTAATTCAAAAGCGTGCCACCACTATTTTATCAGTGCTGATATGCATTTCACTGCTTATACAACCGTAAGTGTTGCAGCACTGGGCACTTTTCAAAGAGCTTGGCACTGTGGCACTTGCATATGTAAAAATGCCTTTCTGCTGTTAATAAAAGGATTTTAACTGGACATATGCTGGACTTTTCTTCTGTGAAAGAATCTGCAGCCTAATGATACCCACAAAAGCATGAAACAATGCTATGCTTTTCCACTGCTAAGAAACACAAAGAATCAGATTCTTTGATATCAGACATCTTTTTTTCTTAGAGCTTGATAACAATCCAGACAAGAAAACAACATATATTGTGAGCTTAGAAATCAATCTGGAGTTGAAGGAAGTCAGTGGTTATACTTTGGGCTTTACCTTTCCTACTCATTGGCCAGTCAGATGAACTGTCAAAACTGCTTCTGGTGTTTGGGCCAAAAGCAAATTACTTCCTAAGAGGAATCAGGTAAGAACCATAACTCAGTTATATGTCTCAGCGTAACACAAGCTAGGGACAAACATTCAAAAAGCCTAAGCCTGAACTGATTCAATCTTTGCAGGTTAGTCTAACCTGCCTAGACTGAATCAGTTTGTAACTCCGCAGACATCCCCTCTGGACTGAAAAAATGCAGGCACATGCCTGCAGTGGCTCAGGCTAGAAGCCAGGGGGTGCTAGAGCAGCCCTTCCTTCCCTTCCAAGTGCTGAGCTGAGGGGTAGGGGGCATGGCCAGGCCCTGGCAGGATGCTCTAATTAGGGAGGTGTGTAAACCCCCCACCCTGCCTGCACCATCCCAGGTTTTTTCCTGCTCACTGCTCAAGGGGTGGGAATGCTGCCAAACCCTGGATCTGTTGATATTGAGCTTTTCAATCTCAGCCTCCCTGCTTCTTCAGACTGTCTGCAAACCAGGTCATTTCTAGCACCTTTCTCTGTCTGCTCTTGAAGACTGACAGACTACACCCAGCAGGTTGTTTATTCAAGCCCCACAAAAGAAAACATCTCTCTCATCAGTGTCAAGCTCTTCTTATCTGCAAGGTGCATTTGCAAGCCACTAGCTGTCTGCCCTTTGTGAAATTGGAGACCCATACAGACACCTCTGTAGCTAGCAAGGGGCGGAGGGGGCATGGCTAGATGCCGGGTCCCTGCACTGAGGTCCCTGCCATGGGAGAGGGGTGGCAAGGGGGATCCCTGTTTGAGTGGCCAGCGAGGAGGGGGAGTGGAGCAGGGGGAGGCCTGGCAGCTGCTGCAGTCCCTCAGCTAGCCGGAGCAGTGATAGTGCTCTGGCTAGGAAGGAGAGGGGTGGGGCCAACCCTGCTCTGCTCCAGCAAACATCCTCGCTCAGCCCAGAGAGCATGCCAGGATGCTGGGGGACTCTGATTTAATTTAAAACCAGAAAGGGGTCTGGGACAGACACTGCATAAACCAAACCAGTTAAGTCTGATACTATATTCAGGTTTACCTCAAACCGGTTTCAGCCATTTTCAAACTGGCTAATGTGCACCGAACATCTGTTCTGTTACAGTTTTAAGCCAGTTTCTGATCACTTAAATCAGTTTATGTGTAATGTCTGTCCCTAGCCACAGTGTTTCCTAGAATTGTACTCTGGGCTGCATACTAAGTCACAATCTAGTCTGAATTGTTTCAACAGAACACCAGGCTTTAGAAAAAAAGGAGAACCTATGATCAAGAGAGGGAATGGAAAAGAATGTGTTAAGAAGAATTAAACAAACCAGGTTTCTACAGAATACTAAATAAGAAACTTTAAGCCATATATTTTTGGACTGACATCTATATACCATGGGTTATCAAACTTGTCAAAGTCCAGATCCATCACTTGCCCTGGTGCTACCAAAACATGTCCCCAAAATCCATAATTTGGATGTGCACCCTACCCTGCTTGTCCTACCCCACTCCAGGAGCCACATGGGCCAGATGACAGGATGATACAATCCCTAGTATTACAATACATGAGCATCTGACAATGTTTAATGTATTTATCTTCACAGCTTTCTCTGTGAAGTAAGCTAGTATTGTTTCCTTCATGTTAGTGCCAGTGACTGAAATGCAAAAAGACAGAAAGAAAGAAAAAGAAAGAAAGAAAGATAGGTGACATACTCAAAATTATGCAGGAAATCTGTGGCAGAGCAGGGAATTGAAGCTGGGTCTCAAGAGACCCAAGCTCATACCCTATCAGACTATCCTCTTAAGACTATTTCTTACTCTTTCCTCATCTAAGCAGGTGTCCTGTAGGGTATAATTTGTTCTCCCCTCTTTGTCTTATGCAAGCATCATGACTACATCTAACGCACTCAGCTTTAAGAAAAGCTGCAGACCAAAATCCTCATTCCATACCCAACTGATTACAGTAGGGGATAGACAAGTCCCCACATTTCCCAAGTAGGTGGTGTTTGCCAGGTGAAAGCACAGACAAGTGTCCTGAGCACTAGGGTACATGCTGTGGAGTGCAGCACTTACTGACCAAGGGTGCATACCACTTCTTTCATAAGGAAGCAGCAAAGGGCTCTCAACTCCACTTCATTTTCCAACTACCTTTCCAGGCCATCAGAAATTAATCTGCCAATATGCCCAGTCCTTCTGGAACTAGTGACTAGGCCACTGATTCTTTTGTGATATATACCACTAGCCAAAAAGGAAGTAGTATTGTTGAATAGACAGCTGTTATTTTCCCATAAACACACTCTCATTAACATTTGTGATACAATCAAAACTTGTGATTTAATCAAATGATTCATAATTATTCTTCAGTAAAAAAAGGAAGGTTTTTAATTTATCAAGTTATAAGGGTTATTTCTACATACCCTATCAAAGCCGGCATGGAGAAGGGGTAGAACAGATATCTCTTCTTGGTCAGCAGGTCTATAGCAAAACAGAACACGTGGTCACCCAAAATATAAAAAGTAGATAATGTTAATATGATAGAGTTATCTAAACTTACTCGCCATGTCAAGAGAAGTGTAGCCATGCGGTACGTGATGCCATGGGCTAGGCTCCAAGCTGCAGGAGCACCATGGCTGCAGCTTCCCTGGTCCCCAAGACCCCAGGTAAGGCTGCTGGGGCCAGCATAGTTGCTGGAACCAGCCTCCCCTACCCCACCCAGGGTAACCTGCCATATACCAGAGGGCATGAGGCACAGGCGTCCCCCAGGGAGGAGACATCTGTGTTCATCTGGACACAGCCATTGGGTTGAATTTTGTTATCCTTTGTGAAGCTAAATGGCAGTTTTGAAAGTGAGCCACTGCCCCTTGCATTTACTAGTCACTGGATAAAATAGATAGGGAAGTAGTGGAATGGGGAAATTTCTTTGCACTTGGTATCAAAGGCCCAGACTAGAAGCCAAAGACTGCTCCCTTCTAGAGCAGCATCTCATGGAGCCATACACCTTCTAGCTTGCTCTTTTCCTCCTGGTTCCACACATCTTCACCACTATTGGCTGCCCCCCCCACCCCCCCACGACAGAA